GAAATAATTAGAGGAAATATTTAAATATTGCTACTTGCCCTTTTTCTATAATGGAAGTGTCTAGCCGGCCCCACCCCTATTGGGTGACATCAAGACCTGGCTGGCCCCACTCTAGTCAAGTGCCACTGGGTGGGGCACGCAGCCTCACATCCTGGTGCAGGAGTGGGGGGCACGACCTCAGGTCTCCCAGCCCAGCACTGGGGAAGGGGGCGCAGCCTCAGGTCTCCTGCCCTGGCCCAGCACCACGTAGCCTCAGGTCCTGGCTGATCAGTGTTACAGTGTGATGACCATTTGCATATTAGTTTTTTATTATGATGATCAGTATCATTAGTATCATCATCAATATCATAATCATCATCATCACCATCACCACAAACATCATCACAATAACTATCACCATCATCACCATGATCATCACTGTCATCTCCATCATTATCACCGTTACAACCATCATTGTCAACATGGCTGTATACATCATCACCACCATCTTTTTCATCACCATTACAATGATTATCATCATCAACATCACCATCACCATCATCATCATCCTCACCATCATCAACACCACTATCATCATTGCCCTCATCATCTTTATCACCATCACCTTCACCTTCACCATCACCATCACTATCATTGTTATCACGATATCACCATCACTATCCTCACCCTCACCATCATCATCAGTGTCACCATCATCATCATCACCATCATCATCATCATCACCTCCACTATCATCATCATCACATGACCATCAACATCCTGTCAATGTCCCATATCATCTAACTGACATGATCCTCCCTCTCCTGTCTTGGAGTAGGAGCCACAGCTTGAGGAATTCTGGCTTCTACCTTAGAAAGACAAACAACAATGTGCCTTTTCTGTCACTCATGTACGGGTGGAGGCATTTAGACTTTAGGATACATGTTTTCTCTTATCTGGTTCAGTAAATACTACAGTTATCCTCTGGTGGCTTGGCACCCATATTTCCTGGGTGACTGAAGGCAGAGTGGGTATGGTGGCAATAAACCTAATTAAATAGCCACAAGGTAAAATAGGCACAGAGTGAAATGATGCAATCTCTACATTTGGTTTAATCCCTGCTTCCTCTTTCCTCTCCCATCTTTTGCTTCAGTCTGAAATTAGGAGAACACAACTGAACCAGGATTAATCACCACCTACAGCAGACCGCAGTTCCAGATCTTTCCAGGCAATGCCCATGAAAATGAATCCCAATAAATCCAATACAATTTAAAAAAAAAGAGTTAAACAATCACAGTGCTTAACACAGTAGTTCTCTAATGGTGGAAACTACATCTGGGCCATCTGAGGTGGCTGAGTGAGTGAGACAGAACAAGAATTGAGCATTGGTTACCTGCCTGGGCCTTCAGAGAATTCAGGTACCTGTGGCCTGGAGTGGACAGAGTGAGCTATGATGTGGGAGGAAGCATGTGAGAATTTTCTGGAGGCCCAAGGGAAAGAAAGGGTCATAACCTGCCCTAACAAGTCATCCGGTTTCATCAACTCTCATAGAAACTTCTGGAAATTCTGCCCTGGAGGAAAAGTTTATTCTTATTGATTTGTACCTTTGGATTACTATTGTGTAGTATTGCAAGTTATCCAAGTTAGACACATCTTTTCAATTCCTGCACTTTCACAAAGCTTTCATTGCTCTCTATGAATTAGGAAACCAGGCCTGTTGTCAAGAAAAAAGGTGGAGAGTATTATAAGACTTAGAATAGACTGTGGCCATTTGTTAGTGAATTTTTGGCTATGCAAGAGCCTGCCCTCACATGTATGATAGCTATACTCCTCTGATGGGGGTATTGCATGGAAAACAGGGAGGGAAGTCAGGATGAGGCATTTCTTTGAAGGCCTTGAATATGAGGGAGAATTTGAATGTGCACATCTTGGGGAACTGAGCAAACACAGGCTGTGGGCGAGGAGGAATGTGTCCGGAAGTGAGAGCAGAGTCACAAAAAGGGAAGTTGACTTGAAAGCCCTTAGAGACTCAATGATCAAAGTCACCCAACATTCAAAAAGATCAAATAAGGAATTTATGTACAATTAATTTATAGTAACCAACAGCTTTTATATGCACCAATAAGTCCCAACCTCACCTTGAATGTCAACAACTACGAAAAGGAAAATTGTAAGCAATAACTGTGATAAGAATGGGGTCAAATTTACACACATATACACTTTCAAACATGTCTGAACGGCACAAAGGACTCATATTGGTGAAGAGATGGGGGCGTCATTAGACACAATGACTGAGCATCATAAAGACATCATTTCTCCACAGGTTAGATAAATGCACATCTGTTCCCAAATACAGCAAGAACTAAATGAGGTGGCAATAAAGTCTATCTGGAAAAGGAAAAATCGAAGAAAAGCTAGGAAAACACGAACACAGCACAGCTGTGGGGATAGAGGAGGGCTAGCTCAAGCAGTGCCGAGGAGATGTGTGTGCCGAGGAGAGCAATGGACAGAGGGATGTGACTGCTGGCTCTGAAGATGGGAGAGGATGCTGACCATGGGATATGGGCAGCGTGTGAAGCTCGGAAGACAAGGAATCCCATTCTGACTCCTGAACGGAAAGATGACAAATCTGTGTTGCTTTAACCCATGAAACATATGGGTATTTGTTATAGCAGCAACAGGAAACTAATACTCTCTTTCTCTGTCTCTCTTGTTCTCTCTCTCTCTCTCTCATTTTTGGAGGTGGTGATACAGTTTTTCTCTATTTTGGCTAATCTGAGATTTGCAAGCTCAGAGTTGGAATCTGTGTGGTTCAGTGGTATATTCTTGGTCCAGGCACATGGCAAATCCTCAAAGAATAGGGGTGGATGCTTGGGTCAAAGAGGAGTTCGGGCCAGTGAGGCAGAAGCTTATGGATGAAATGGGGCCTGAGACGGGGTCAGAAATATCTCCAGAGGCCTGTTGCCCGTCCAGGCCTCAGCCCTGAGGAAATGAGAGCCAGGCTACCGGGGAGGGGCTGTTCCCTTTCCTGGGGCTGCTGATGTGACAGCCCCATGACTGGGCGGACCAGCCTCCCGGGGGGCCACACCCTGTGTGTGTCTCTCTCTCCTGATGGCCCTGTGGTCTCCTCTATCTGGACAACCAGGAGCAGAGAGAGTAGACGCCATGACCTCTACCCTCAGGGCCCTGCTCTGCCTCGGTGAGATGGGAGGAAAGGGAGGGGAAGCCCTGATATGGGAAGGAGAAGCCCTGATTGCACCACAGCCAGGCCCTGGCCAATCAGGACCTCAGGACTCAGGAGGTGCATGAGGATAAGGGTTCTACTTAGGATTCAGGGCAAATCTCTCACAAGGACTCTCTTCCAGGACTGAGTGTGGGCCTCAGGACCCCAGTGCAGGCAGGTGAGTCCATCACAGGTGTTCCAGGTTTCATTTCTTATAGAGGATTCAAAGCCACAAGTTAGGAAGCTGGGGATGGAGAAAAGCAGGTTGGGGTTAATGGATGGGGGACATGTC